GAGAAAAAACGAAAATTATAAAAAAATTAGGAGTATCATGTTGTTACGTAGTCCAACAGCTGCATCTCTTTTGACAGCAGAACAAAGAGAAGATGGGGGAAAGGCTTGAGCAATGTTCCTCCTTCAGGCAGAGTAAGAGCTTTTCAGTGGGGCAGATAAGAGTAGAACACAAGAGCATTTCTCTAGAGCATTTCTGGACTCTAGAAACTGAAGATAGAATCGTTCAGAACAAGTGCTGGCCATCAGAGCCATGTGCAGACGGTGGTGAGGGGTTCTTCATCGCTTTGAGGAAGTTGGGTAAATATATTTGAGGTGTGGGCTAGTGGGTCTGGCAGTTGACCATCAACCCAGACTGCAGGCTCTCAGCACCTCTGTTCTTGTTGCTAAAAATTCCTTGTTGCTGTGGTAATTGGTGCAAATGATGCAACTTCATTTATATTGCCACTTGTAGAAGAGCATTTTCCAGGCCTCCATGTCTACTTGACCGCTGAGAAATGCGGCATTGGCTGATAAGATGGTTATTTTCTAGTGGAAACACACCTTCCACATCTAATCTATTTATGACTGAGCAGAAACCTTTCAAAAGCCTCTGCAGATGGATTGCAGCACTTCTGCTGTACCGTTTGTGTGACAGTGAGTGCTTGTGGACGACAGGTAGAGAATAAACCACATTCCAGCTTTGGTGGGGGCAGAGGTTTCAGTGAACTGTGATCTCCCAGGCACAATTAGATCTTGTGACTGGTACATCATCCCCGACTTTTTCTTTTCCTCATATCCTTCTTCCTCTCCATTTCTGGTGTTACCAGTATTTGAAAGAGCAGTAATCTCCATTTACCACAGGTTCCCTCTCCGGTCTCTTCACCTTGTTGCTCTGCAGCAGGTATTGCATACCCAGAACTTATTCAGCTTTGTGTTGCACGTAGCTGACCTTTGCAATCTCCCTGTCCCCTTCCCATCAGAGTTAGAAGTCTTCAAGAACAATGCTGCTTGTAATCCTAAATCCAGTAGTAACACAGAGGTACAGAAGAGGCAGCACCTGTTTCATCGGGATGCAGTGGCATTACCCCTCATTTTGCTCATTATATTATGAATGTTGTTATTCTGGGAGACTCAGCCTGCTTCTAGTGGTTTATATCTTCCAGTCAGGTGTGCTTCTTGGCTAAGGCTCTAAGTTTCCATATTTTATTTTAGCGTATGTTGTGATTTGCCTTGGTAAATCTGAAAACAGGAGATGGAAAACTGAATGAAGACAAAAAATAGTTTACAACCAGCTGTACCAATTACCATTCAGTATTCTGCAAATGGACAAAATGAGGGATTGCAGCTGGATTGTCTTGTCCCTGGAGCTATTTGGTGAGCCCTGCCATTTTTTATCGCTTCCTCATAACTTGCCATCTTTGGTCTGTCATATCTGTACTGGTTTATTCCTGGAGTGGTGTCTCTAGAGGTGGTGTCTCCTTCTGCCTCTCTCCCTGGATGGGAGCTGTACAAGAGGCTGGCTTAAAAGCCCAGGCCTATCTAACTTCTTAGGTAGTTTTAAAAGTAGTCTCCTCTAAAAAGCCTTTAGTGATGCCCTTTGCAGTTATGCAATTTTGAAAATACTCAAGATTGCATAAAAAGTGCTGTGGCCCTCATAGACATGTTCTTCAGTCATATTCTCCTGTCTGCCTCTCTCTCTCTGTGGTGCTTGGTTTTTTATGCTTATAGTATAAGCTTTTTTTTGGCCACCCGTGGTACCATGAATACTGATCTGTGGCTGAGGCTCTGGATGCACAGTAATACCAACATACCAAAAAATAACAACAGTGGGAACTCACCATAGGGAAACACAGTTTCCAGCCTGGACCCTCTGGTTCCCACCTCAGTGCCAGGAGGTGATGAGGCACTGTCGGAACATTGCCTGAGCAATTTTCAGGCTTATTTTCTGACTGCTTATTATGCTAATCAGAAGTTATTTCATCCTTAGAAGCCCACCCGTGAGCACTGCGGGTTTAATCACTGTAGCAGAGAACAGAGGGTGCCCCCAACCTACAGCTGCGAGTTTGAGCTCCTGAATCTGGCAGGAACTTGCGGTGCCTTCCCTCCCGGTGCCTGATGCTCCTCGGGTGGCTGCTGGTCTCCTCCCAGCCTAAAAAGGGAAGTAATTGCCTTGGAAACGCCGCGGAACATCTGGGTCCAATCAGGCTGAACATCCCCGGCAGGCCGAGCATCGGCGGTAGCACGGAGCCTTGGAAGGGGCTGCGCTCCGGAGCCTTGGAAGGGGCTGCGCTCCGGAGCCTTGGAAGGGGCTGCGCTCCGGAGCCTTGGAAGGGGCTGCGCTCCGGAGCCTTGGAAGGGGCTGCACTCCGGAGCCTTGGAAGGGGCTGCGCTCCCGCCGCTGAGGGGGTTGCATCAGGGGAGCAGCCTCCCGGGGCTCCCAGCATGGTGGTGCTGCTGCCTCTTGTAGCTTGCCAGTGACAGACAAGCTGCAGAACAAAACCACAGGGCCTGAGACGTAGCTTAAGGCTGCAGGGCTCGGAGAGCCAAACCACAAGGCTGAGAATTTCAGTAATTGTAAGCCAGGAAAACGGTTTTTGGTTCTTTAGGCCTATACGGGGCTTTGCCTGCTGTATAGGTGGAATTGTGAGAGCTGTCTGCTGAGACTGCACTGTTCTCCCTACAATTGTTTCAGAAACTACAGCGGGAAAACACACCAAAATGAAAGATTACCCCAGGTGGCCTTCAATAATAATGTCAGGGGAACTGCCTCGAAAAGTTACAGAGAACACAGAGCAAATAGAAATGAGACAGAAGGGAGAAGCCAGAGCAATTTCAGAGCAGTGTGATAGCTGAGGAGACTGGTTAGGGAGATAGTCATGATGAGCAACGGGAGAAACAGCTACGTAGAAGGGACCAAAGCAGGCAGGTTGTATTTCCAGCTGGGAATAGGGACCCACGTTTATTTTGCACTGGCATTGAACTAGCTCAGGGGAGCCCAGGTGTGGTCGTCGTGGTTCACACAGCGCTGGGAAAATGGGCAGCAGTGGAATGTGTAGTTACCTCCTTTTGGACAGTTCCAGCAGCAGCAGGGAATGAAAGTCTCGAATGTTTATAACCTTTTTCTTTTTCTTTTCTCTTTAATGTTTTGTGTGTAACGTAAAAGCCATGTAAAACCTACTCAAATCCCAGAACTTACATGGAATCTCCTATGGAGTGTAAGTCCAAACAAAAGACATCTTTTGTCCACTTTAAATAGCTTTGCAGACCTTTGGTTTTGAATTGTTTGCAAAATTTAGGCAATGCCATATTTAGAGTTGCATGTGAAATGGTAATTGAACTTATAAATTTATTTTAGTTTCAGGGTCACACACTATTTTTCCAGGGTGTGCCTGCTTAAGCCTATGATAAGATGGTTTCACCGAATGAGTAGCTGTTCAAGACTTTTGTTTATCATCTTCATTTCTGTGAGACTTGGAGCATGCTTAATGCAAGTGGAATCTGTGATTTTATTTAATTTTTTTTCCCCTCCTTCTGTGGAACTGAAAGGCCTCTATTTCACATTTGCCTTTAGGAAATTCCAAAGGTTTAATATTTATCCAATTTTTAATGAATTTTCACAAGGAGGCAAAACTCAGCTGACATACCAAATCCCTCAAATCCCTCAGTCAAATGGATGTTGGACTTTATTAACATTTATAATGGGTTTTTTCTGGTTTTGTTTTTTTTTAATGCTGGGATCATTCATTGACTGAAAGTGTCTTATTATAATGGAAAGTGTTAGACTGCTTTGACACTGGGCATTCTTTCTAATTCAACTATGATGAAAGAACATGAGTGTTAATAAGGAATTTTTTCCATTTAGGGTCCTGAGAGCACTCCACCATTGCTGAAATGTGAACCTGAACTCACAGGATGCTTGCCCTGGTCATCAAAAGTGTATTGTGTTTGGGCAGTTCTGAGGGGACACAGGATAGCAATGGGGCTTGTCTTTCTTAGACTGCTGGTTAGGATGACGGTGTGCGTCCTCCTCAAGTTTGCTGTGTTAATGCCTTTTGTAGCACGAGCCATCTGCCAAAGTTTCAGTTTCAGGATATGAAATTCAGCAGCTAAAGATATCCGTGGGATTGTTCCATAAAAAACCCTCGGTAAGGTGTTTGGCAGCACGTGGTGTGAGGGTTCACAGGAGCCGAGCGCAAGGCTCCGAGTACAAGGAGCGCGTGAAATGCAGCAGGCATGGGCTGCGGCAGAATTCCTGCTGATAATTGCAGGGGTGATCACTGCTGGGCAGGGTAAGCTCCTGAGGATTTTGCAGGGGATCACCAACATTTTCAGCAGTGCCCTGAAAGCAGCTGTGAAGTCGCTGTTAAGCTGCAAACAATCCAGAACTGGTGTAAATAACGAATTCCAAAAGGTGTGGGTTTTATGTAGAGTGTAGTGTCTGTCTCTTTTGCTTGTCAGGGAGATCACAGGGAAGATGGCTCAATGCTGTGAGAAGGAGGCATTCAATCAGATTACCTGCCCAAGCTGCTGGTTAGCAGATTAAAAGTCCTGCCATCCTCCCTGTGCCCTGCTCTGTATTAACCTAAACAGTAGTTGAACATTAGAATGCAAATGTTCTCTAAGTCCTTTGAACAAGGAGCCTCTGGTTATTTTGGAGGTACTCCATGCTATACCATGTGAGTGGTATACCATGTGGCTCAAGTGCCAATAAGAGTGAAAAGATGGCACCAGGGAGGGGGTTATTCCTGCTGAAGGTCAAACCTGTCTGTCCTCCTCACAGTTGCTATCCAGACTAGCTCAAGTGCATCAGTCCATGCTGCTGTCATCTCTCCAGGATGCACAGATCCCCTAAAACCTTACACTAGTGCCCTGTGGCAGTGAGCAGGGACAGTGGGAACTGCTACCATTAGTGCATTTTAATATTTTTTTAAATAAAATAATAGAAATCTATATTTTGTATGTAACTGTGTTTGTTGTTTTACCTTTCTTTTTCTTTTTTTTTTTTTTTTTGTTGTTACCAGAGTGCCTCTGATGGCTTTTGGAAGTCAGTGGCAACCCGTGTCCCAAGAGAACCTCATGAGATACGTATCCTGAATCCCTACTTCATCCAGGAAGCAGCTTTCAGCTTCATTGGACTGCCTTTCAACAACGGCCTGATGGGCAGAGGGGTAGGTATAAAGCAAAGGAAGCAAAACCACAGAGAAGGATGAGAGACCAAGCAGCAGACTAGGCTGTTCTTACTTTTCCTCTGGGCCTCTGTTGTTGGACATTGAAGGGAAGAGACTTTGGCTCTGTTATGGTGGCAGCACTCAGTCTCCTGCAGACCAAGGCAAGATCCTTCCTGATCTGAGCATTGGGGGTGGGGATCATCAACATTTCAGCAATGCCTTGAACACCACTGTGAAGTTGCATCCCAGGCTTATAGTAGAGGAGGGTAAAGATTGTTTTATGAGGCCTTTGGTAAGAAATTCTGATCTCGCAGCAACAGGTTTTAGATGTAAAAGCTCACAAAAGAAAACAATGCAAACCTCAGTTTTAGGTCATATTTATTAACAAAATACCTTAATGGTCATTCTCATATCTCTCACCCCCAGTGCAACTTTTTGGAGTGTTAGTGTGGAGTAGGTGGTGACTTGGGTTTTCTGGATTATCTCACATTGCAATGCTGTCCTCAGAACCTATTTATATTTGCTCTACGTAATATATCAGCCATTAGAGTAAGTATTGCTTGGGTGGGTAAATTGCTCATGTACACATGTGATATAGTTGTTGATAGAGACCACACGTGACATTTTTGGGCACATTAGCACAGCTGACAAACCCAGAGAGAGGCACTTTCCCTGGACAAGGTCTGCTTGCTCTGCCCCTTCCTTTGCTATCAGCGCAGGAGATTTGCCATGTTCGCAGCGTGGATTTGGACTAGACAGAATAGTGACTCATTTTCCATGCTCTAATTATATCACGAAGACTTCAGAAATATTAGAGACATTTGCTTTGTGCAAGTCAGATGGGTGGGTGCCTGGAGATAAGACATTTCCTTCTTAAAATGCAATGTGCGAGATGTGTGGACAGATTCAGCCACATGGAAATGCACTGCTGTGTGTGTGTATGTACATACAGAAGCTGTCACAGGATTCTGGGAGCCCTGGATTTTTGTTCTGGGAGCACTGAATATTCCCATCAGCTAGAAAGTAACTTACTTCACCTCTCTGCATTCTCCAGAACTTACCCTTAGAAAGACGAGGTCTTGATTTGTCTTCCAGAAAATCAGGACTGCTGCCCCAGTAAAGGACAAAAATCATCAGACTTTTGCCTTTATTTTTCTCCAGATTTGTTTTTTATTTTTAAACACGTTATTTTAATACACAAGTTATTACTTAAACTGAGAGAAGAGAGAATCCGGAAATGAAAATGCTGTGAACTGAAGTTTATGAGGTTTTGATAGGTTGTTTAACACACACTGGATTGGGAAGTGAAGGCATCTTAATTGAAACCTGATGTTTCACTTCACAAAAGTCCATTTGAGCATTTAAAAATAGTTTATGGGGCTTTAAGGCAGGCAGTCTTTGCCCATGACCCCTGCTAGACTGTGTGAATTGTAGTTTATTCCTTCAGATGGGGCAATGGGAGCTCTGCAGGTGCACGTGTGGGGCTGGGATGTCAATGTACGCTGGGCGGTCTGTGCAAGGATGCTGATGGAGGGATTCTGTCAGAGTTTGAAAGCAGAGAGAATGTTTCTAGCCTGTGAGTACAAATTTTACTGCGGACATGAACTGTGGACTGCTGTCATGGAGCTGTGGGGACTTCACATGTTAGTGAATGATGCTGCATCAGTGCAGGGCTTAGAGCTTTGTAAGTGCACAGGCTCCAAGAGGAACTGCTGTTGCCAGTGTAAAGAGGGAAGAGACTTGGTAAGATCCCGGTGATACAAGTTTGCTACTGACCTTTTTTCACTCAGAGTTTAAATGGGAAGAATGGAAGTTAGAGCCTGTAGGCCAAGAATCCACCGCTCATAAAAGATTTGTGAGACACCCAGCAGGATGAGTCGGGCAGCTAGAGCAAGGAGAGTTGCTCCACAAGACCCAGTGTGGCCCAGCAGCTGCAGAGCATAGCTGGTTGGGTTCAGGGTCGTGCTTTAGAGATGAGGGAGACAGCCTGGAAAACTTTGCACAAGAAAGAAGCATATGAACGTGGAAAGGAAAATGCTGACATCTAGTAAGCAAAAGCACAGTGAACAGTGTCCTGAGTTTCTCCGAGGAAATTGGGTTGGAGGCAGATTGGTGCCCCCGTGCTGCAGTGTGCTGTGGTGTGTTGGACAGGAGGATCAAGGCTGGGGATGCCTTAGTAATCAAGGGCAACACGAAATCCTCATAAAGAGCAGTAATATTCCACTCTTCTTTGGTTCTGATGCCTAAATAAACTTCAGTGCTTCTCTTGCACACCACATATGGTAACAATGTGCTGCCAATTAACTTTGTAATTTGGGGGCTTTTTCAGCAAGGTTGAGGAGAGCTAGTGAAATAGTTTGGGGCTGATCTCAAAGCGTTTTTCCCAGGATTCAATAAAGGGTGAATGTAGTAACATCCTCTGCTTTGATAATATAATTTGGGCCAGATGGTTCTGGAGGATAGTAGTGGTGTGCAACTCAGACCTGCATTTTGATTGCACTTGTAGCACTAGTAGCCAAAAGTCTGAGCAAGAAGCAAAACTGGTCACCCACAATGAACAGTGACTTCTCTCTAGGACTGGTAAAGTTTCAGGAGTTTTCAGGAGTTTTCTCAGTCCATTTACTGAAGTCTTAAGAGAGGGAGAATTGTTCCCTACTGCATGTGGACTTTTTCTTTTCTTGGGTTAAGCAGATGATAAAGAAAAACCTTCAGGATCCTAGCAATGTCTGGGGAAAAATCGTTGTTAGTGCCTGAAGACGGTTTAGCACAAAAGAAATTATCTAGTAAAGATCCTCTCTCTAATTAAAGAACCCTGTTAAGTGTGGGTGCAGGGTTGGCTTTCTCATTAGCCAAAGGTATGTATGTGATTTTTTTGTTCAGGTGGAAGTTCTGTGTATACAGGTCTTTGGGCAATCAAGACAAACCAGACATCACTGGTGTTGCAGCTGGTAGTTCAGGCAGGCAGTATCCCTTACACGGCAGACAGTTTACTGAACATTAGTTCAGGGCCATTGTTGCTGGTGGCACATACACCACTAGGGATGGTCATTGCCCTGCTGCCATTTGCTGTGCAGTGAATAGTCCTGTCCAGTCAGGAGTGCTCAGAGCCACTGCATCAGTGGCTTTCTAGCTCCTCTGGGAGCCCTGAGCATGGTGTGAGGTGGCCAGGAGAAATTATCAGGACTCTGAGGACTCCAGTGCAGACTGTGGTGTTTGTTTCTCTCTCTGTGCTGTTGCTGTGCATCCACAGATCTTTTTATGATTTAACTTCTTATGAGAGTAAGGTCTAAGGCCCAAAACTGTAAGCCTTTGATTTGTTCATGTACTGGAAATGGCTTAATCTATAAAGAGATGAAGCATCCTTCTCTGGGCTTCACCCAGCCTCAGCACCAGCGTGGTGAAGGAGGAGCCACGTGTGGGAGGTGTTACCAGGCTGTGTTAGGCACCCAGCCATGGATTAGCACCTCTGCAGGGTGCTGACAGCCCTCATGAGCTCAGGGATTAACCTCTGATGCTGGAGTGTTAGCACATCCTGGCCCAGGGCTTCTCTTAGCTGTTAGGTGGTTTTGCCTGTGGGCAGTCAGCCTTTCTGGACATGCCAGTGGGAACCCTTTGCTCCTTAGGCAGTTTTCAGCTCCCCTGGGTGGTCATGACCCTTCCTCTCATGAGTTGCCCTGTTGTCAGCAAACTTTGTCTCCTGGGCTGTTCTTACTGGACCGAGACTCTGTGAAGGCCATGTCTTTGGACCTGTTGGGTCTTTGTGAAGCAGAAGAGAAGTGGGGAATGGCAGGAGCAGGGCAGTCTGCCACTCAGTCCTTTCCATTTACATGCTGCTGCTTTTTTTGCACTCTGATGGCATCTTCTAAGACACGTAGAGGGACAGGTAAAGGGCCACTGCAGCTGCAGTCAGTGGAACGTAGAGACGACTTGTTATTGTAAAGCTTTGAGCCTGCAAGACAGCACATCTGCTTTGTGGGCTGGACTGTTCCATCCATTACCACTGCAGTGGGATCAGTCCAGGAGCTGCTGGGGAACGGGTGCTTGGACAAGTAGAAGGGAGCAGGTAAATGCAAACCAGCTGCTGTTTGGTAAAAGCCCAGCCATGTGCTTCTGCACATGAGGGATGCAAAGTGACTGAAGGGAGTTTAATTCTCAGTGAGAGAGTAGGCCACGAGCTCCCGTTTAGCGTGGGGTAAGCATATATGTGGTTATCACAGAGCAGATAGCACGTAGTAAAGTCATGTCCTTGCCTGCCCTCTGTTAAATGCTTAGGTCCTTAGAAATACTCCCTGCATGGCACATGAATCTGCTCCGTGGCAAATGGTGAATCAGAGCTTGTGCATCAGGTAGATGTGGTCAGAGATAACTTTGGATTGGGCTAAGGTGTACTGGAGCTCAGCAGTCAGCTGCCAGAAGGGAGTTGGTGTGCAGCTGGCTTGTCATGTCTCCAGCAACCAGCCACTGGCTCCCCGTTTGCTCTGCTGCAGACCACCAGTTCTGCAGGCTCTGTCCCACTCACAGCAAGGGATAACTAGGGGAGGTGAAGGAAAAGCATTGCAGATGCTCTGCTTTGTCTTTTGAAGCCAAATATTGTAGCTGATTTCGTGCCTGAATGGAGGTAGCTGTGGGAGCAGCAGTGTGCCTTGTAAGTTCCTGTGACAGGGATCACTCCACAGAATGCCAGGCAGTGGTCTGCTCACAGTGAATGATACTAAATTGCTTTTTATTCCGTATTTCCAAACTTTTCAGCTAAGGGGAATGAAGAGCAGGTTTGGGGTTGCTCCTATGCAAACATAAAGAAACAAAATGAAAATACTGTTGAGTGTGTTGTGGTGATTATTATAGCTTTTTTCTGTATGTCTTTTGTTTTGAAAACTTCATTGCTATTAGACTGTAACTGATAAAACTAAGGTAGCAATTTTTCCCAGGTAAGCAATTTTTCAGGTTTTCTCATTTAATATAGTAGTCAGGCCAATTTGAATATGTAGGTGCATTATTGT